AATTACATATGTTATGTCATAACAATTAGAAAAAAATGTAATAAATGGTAGGGACTACGAGTCTGTAGAGTAGTAGTAATAATAATAATAATAATAAGCTGCACGGTCATCTACCAGCCCTCCGCATCCATCATCCCCACCAGAAGGCTTGGTGTCGGCTGGGTCTTCTCGGACTCAGCAAGCGGCACCCGCCGCTGGTGGAGCACGTCGCATGCGTTGGTCACAAGAAATGAATGCAAACGCACTGCGGGCGTACTTTAGGGCAAAAGGGGAAGAAACTGGATGTTTGGCGTATCGGGCTAGGATGCATCGTCTTTTTGCTGAGCTGGAGCCATCTTTAATCGTCACAGAGCAAAACCTGGCAGACCGAGTTCGGTATATCTTGCGCTCAAATATATTTGATGTCGCCGAACTCGAACGGCTACGACGTGAGGCTGTTCCCTCGTCGGATGAGAATGCTATGGCTGAGGATGCGGCGCCACAAATGGTAGAGCAACCCGCAAACGTGGATGCCGCCGTGAATACCCCAGTTGTGGTTGATTCAAACGATGATGGAACAGTCGCCCAGGAACTGGAATTAGAGCATATGAGGAGTATATTGGAAGAGGCGATTGTGGAAACGCGCAGTACGCCTCTCGAAAATCGACCGCGACTTTCCCGCATAGCCCTAAGCAAGCGGAATCGGGCTGTCGTGAGGGCTCTGAACCCAATGCTGGTTACCTATTTGGAAGCCAGCCGGGACCTTTTGCGAGACGGACTCAATTCTTTTTGGCGCCGCGCTGGCAGTCTGCCGTATCATAGGCGCCAAGGTTTCCACGGCTGGACGCGCTACTGGCCATAGTAGCGCTATCCCAGCATGGAGAAGAAGAATTGAGGAACGTATCGCAAAGGCTAGAGCTCTCATCGGCAGACTGATATGCTTCAGATCAGGCAACAACAGGCCAAGAATTGTGCGCACCGTCAGGATGGCGTTTGCTGGGACAAATGTCAGTTTGTCCCAGCCGGATATAACGCAAAAACTGACGGAGCGCATAGATGATCTGAAGCAGAGAATCGCTGCTTGGGGAAAGCGGATTCGGCGATATACCGAGAGGTCGACACGGTTCAACCAGAATCGTCTCTTCCAGAGTGATCAGAAGAGGCTCTATGAATCATTGGAGCGACCAATGGTAAGTGGAACGGGTCCAGCACCGAATCAGGCCGACACTGTAGCATTCTGGCGCGGCCTGTGGTCAGAGCCCGTAAACCACAGCGAGGGCCCTTGGACGGAAGTTGTGGCGAGTCAGTGTGCGGGTATTACGCCCATGGACCCCGTCATCATAACGCCGGATGACGTAGCTGAGGCGGTTCGTAAGGCCCCGAACTGGAAAAGTCCGGGGCTTGACGGGCTGCATCACTACTGGCTGAAGGGGTTCATGGTGTGTCACTCTGTGCTCGCCCGACAGTTTCAAGAGGCTCTCAACCAGAAGTCGCTCCCAAGCCTCTTCACTACTGGGATCACTCATTTAGTTCCTAAAGACCAGGGTACCACAGACCCGAGCAAATACCGCCCCATCACGTGTCTACCGACCATATACAAGACACTAACATCCATTTTGAGCGCGAGAATCACTTGTCACCTGGACTCAAATCAGGTGATGTCGCGCGCTCAAAATGGATGTCGGGGCGGTGGTCGTGGAACCAAGGAACCACTCCTCATTGACGCGGTCATTGGCAAAGTGGTGAAACGCAACCGTCGGAACTTCTCCGCCGCCTGGATAGACTACAGAAAGGCATTCGACTCGGTGCCCCATACATGGCTAAAGAGAGTCCTCGAGCTGTACAAGATAGACTGTACAGTTAGAGACTTCCTCGAGCAGTGTATGGGGCAGTGGAGTACGATCCTTTGTCATCTAGGCGAGCGGATGATGGCTGCGGAGAACCACATAAGGATAAGAAGGGGTATCTTCCAGGGCGATTGTCTGAGTCCAATCTGGTTCTGCCTCTCTCTGAACCCTCTCAGTACCTTACTGGAGGGCTCCGGGAGGGGATTTCAGCTACGGAAAGGAGGGACAAAAGTGACCCACCTTTTCTATATGGATGACCTCAAGTTATTCGCCTCCAGTCGCTCCCATCTTATGGAATTGCTAAACATCACTTGTGAATTTAGCAATTCCATTGGAATGGAGCTGGGGACGGATAAGTGTGCGGTCCTCCATGTTGAAAGGGGAAGGGTTGCTAACTCTGAGGGCGTAGACTTATCTATGCCCGTCAACTTAAGGACCCTTTCCGAGGCTGAAACATACCGATACCTGGGTATGTCACAAAACATCGGTATCGATGAGACTGGTATGAAGCAGTCAGTTTGCGACGTGTTTTATGCACGCTTGACCAAAGTGCTTAACAGCCTTTTGTCCGGTGTGAATAAGGCACACGCATATAACGGCTGGGTCATGCCTGTCCTCATGTATACCTTTGGCATACTCAGGTGGACTCAGACTGAACTTAACGCCCTGGATAGAAAAGTCCGCACTACAATGACGTCCCATAGGATGCATCATCCGAGATCGTCGGTAATGAGGCTGTACTTGCCGCGGAAGCATGGTGGTCGTGGCTTCTTGAGCGCGCTCACCATGCATAATCGCGAAGTGTGCAGCCTCCGTGATTACTTCCTGGCGAGATCGGATGATCCATTCTATAAGGACGTCATTTCTTGTGATAAAGGACTTACCCCTCTATCCTTAGCCAACGAGCAATGGCAAGACCCGGCAGTGCAGAGCATTTCCGACCGGGAGACCGTATGGAAGGAGAAGGAGCTCCACGGGAGGTTCTACAAGGCTCTACATGAGCCTTTCGTAGACACAGTAGCCTCCCTCCACTGGCTACGCTTTGGTGATCTCTTCGGGGAAACCGAGGGTTTTGTCTGTGCAATACAGGATCAGGTTATTAAGACCAACAACTATCGGAGATACATCCTAAAGGATGGCACCGTCGACATCTGTCGAGCTTGTCGCCATCCCGGTGAGTCACTTAGGCATGTTATCTCCGGTTGTTCGGCGCTTTCTAACTCTGAGTACTTGCACAGGCACAACCTAGTAGCCAGAATTCTACACCAGGAGCTCGCTCTGAAATACGGTCTCGTGGATCGGAAATTGCCGTATTACAAGTACTTGCCGGAAGCCGTGCTCGAAAATGATCGCGCCAGGCTCTATTGGGACCGGGCCATCATCACAGACAGGACTATTCTTGCGAATAAGCCTGATATTGTGCTGATGGACCGGGCACAGTCAAGGATATTTTTGGTCGACATTACCATTCCGTATGACGAGAACCTCGTGAAAGCCGAAACAGACAAGCAAACAAAATATCTGGACCTGGCTCACGAGGTGACCGACATGTGGGGTGGTCTGCCGACCGAAATTATTCCTGTAGTCGTCTCTGCAAACGGGCTAATCCCAGTCAGCCTCTCGGGTCATCTGAGGCGGCTGGGACTACGTGGCGGACCGCTCCAGGTTCAAATGCAGAAGGCGGTGCTCCTCGATACCGCCCGCATCGTCCGCCGGTTTCTTTCCCTTTCCCCCTAACCCTCGGCCGTTTGGTCTCCCCTGCCGAGGGCCTCCATCTGGTTGGGCTTTTATTTATTTATGTACTTTTATATTTATTTTATGTTATTGATATTTATGTATATTTGTCTTTTCATTTTCATTTATAATTATATATTTATAGCACCCAACCAGATGAGAAAACTATATAGATACCCCAAAATAATAATAATAACCAATGGTAGAGCAACCCGCAAACGTGGATGCCGCCGTGAATACCCCAGTTGTGGTTGATTCAAACGATGATGGAACAGTCGCCCAGGAACTGGAATTAGAGCATATGAGGAGTACATTGGAAGAGGCGATTGGAAACGCGCAGTACGCCTCTCGAAAATCGACCGCGACTTCCCCGCATAGCCCTAAGCAAGCGGAATCGGGCTGTCGTGAGGGCTCTGAACCCAATGCTGGTGACCTATTTGGAAGCCAGCCGGGACCTTTGCGAGACGGACTCAATTCTTTTTGGCGCCGCGCTGGCAGTCTGCCGTATCATAGGCGCCAAGGTTTCCACGGCTGGACGCGCTACTGGCCATAGTAGCGCTATCCCAGCATGGAGAAGAAGAATTGAGGAACGTATCGCAAAGGCTAGAGCTCTCATCGGCAGACTGATATGCTTCAGATCAGGCAACAACAGGCCAAGAATTGTGCGCACCGTCAGGATGGCGTTTGCTGGGACAAATGTCAGTTTGTCCCAGCCGGATATAACGCAAAAACTGACGGAGCGCATAGATGATCTGAAGCAGAGAATCGCTGCTTGGGGAAAACGGATTCGGCGATATACCGAGAGGTCGACACGGTTCAACCAGAATCGTCTCTTCCAGAGTGATCAGAAGAGGCTCTATGAATCATTGGAGCGACCAATGGTAAGTGGAACGGGTCCAGCACCGAATTAGGCCGACACTGTAGCATTCTGGCGCGGCCTGTGGTCAGAGCCCGTAAACCACAGCGAGGGCCCTTGGACGGAAGTTGTGGCGAGTCAGTGTGCGGGTATTACGCCCATGGACCCCGTCATCATAACGCCGGATGACGTAGCTGAGGCGGTCCGTAGGGCCCCGAACTGGAAAAGTCCGGGGCTTGACGGGCTGCATCACTACTGGCTGAAGGGGTTCATGGTGTGTCACTCTGTGCTTGCCCGACAGTTTCAAGAGGCTCTCAACCAGAAGTCGCTCCCAAGCCTCTTCACTACTGGGATCACTCATTTGGTTCCTAAGCAAATACCGCCCCATCACGTGTCTACCGACCATATACAAGACACTAACATCCATTTTGAGCGCGAGAATCACTTGTCACCTGGACTCAAATCAGGTGATGTCGCGCGCTCAAAATGGATGTCGGGGCGGTGGTCGTGGAACCAAGGAACCACTCCTCATTGACGCGGTCATTGGCAAAGTGGTGAAACGCAACCGTCGGAACTTCTCCGCCGCCTGGATAGACTACAGAAAGGCATTCGACTCGGTGCCCCATACATGGCTAAAGAGAGTCCTCGAGCTGTACAAGATAGACTGTACAGTTAGAGACTTCCTTGAGCAGTGTATGGGGCAGTGGAGTACGATCCTTTGTCATCTGGGCGAGCGGATGATGGCTGCGGAGAACCACATAAGGATAAGAAGGGGTATCTTCCAGGGCGATTGTCTGAGTCCAATCTGGTTCTGCCTCTCTCTGAACCCTCTCAGTACCTTACTGGAGGGCTCCGGGAGGGGATTTCAGCTACGGAGAGGAGGGACAAAAGTGACCCACCTTTTCTATATGGATGACCTCAAGTTATTCGCCTCCAGTCGCTCCCATCTTATGGAATTGCTAAACATCACTTGTGAATTTAGCAATTCCATTGGAATGGAGCTTGGGACGGATAAGTGTGCGGTCCTCCATGTTGAAAGGGGAAGGGTTGCTAACTCTGAGGGCGTAGATTTATCTATGCCCGTCAACTTAAGGACCCTTTCCGAGGCTGCAACATACCGATACCTGGGTATGTCACAAAACATCGGTATCGATGAGACTGGTATGAAACAGTCAGCTTGCGACGTGTTTTATGCACGTTTGACCAAAGTGCTTAACACATTCAATGCTGCTTGCGTTGTGAGATGCATCTCTATGTGCAGTTTTTAGTAATTAATGTTCTACTGTGGCCATACATTTTGAGTGTTTGTATTATTTTAATTAAGTTTTATGTGTAAGTTGTGATAATAATTATAACGTAACTACCTTTATTTAAAAAAAAGCAATATCACGGCGCCGTGTACTAGGCCTACGGAGCTATGGGCAGCCAAACACACGGCGCCGTGTAATTGCTTTTTTTCATTTTGTGATGTTTTAGTTATGCTTTTGGCTTAATTATTTGATATAGAAGGATATTAGAAATCAAACGAATAAAATAATTATCAGAAGTTTAATAGAAATTAAAAAAACATTTGAAACACAAGGATTATGAAAAATGCACTTCAAAGAAACATTCTATGCAAAAGCCTGGCGTTCCAACGCAGCTTTTACATTCATACAAAGTGGTAACTCTGTTCTTCTTTTCTCTGCAGCTTTTACATTCTTTTCTAACTACTTCCGTGATAGTTCTTGTCTTCTTACCCTCTTTTTTTTGTCGCGTCTTTACGTTTTCAATTTTAGTTAAAATATGTTTAGTTGACATTTTCTCAGCTATTGGTGGTGGTTTTGGTAATAATTTCTCCAAAATATATAAACGAAAATCATAAAGATTAAGTTTGCTATTCGTACTAAATTTATTATATAAATGGAACGCGTTACTTAAACTCATCTGCAATGTGTGAAAGAATATCTTTTTATACCATCGCATGGTTTTCCTTTCACAGGGGTAATACGAAAGTATTTGATCTTGCAAATCAACACCAGACATAAAATTGTTGTAATGTATAATTGCTGATGGTTTTACGAGAACAGTGCCCCTTTTGTTGGTGACTTCTATCATTTCGTTGTCGTGCTCTGTCGATAAATAAAGCACACATCGCTTATCTTTCCACTTGCCTACATGTACACCATTTAAAAAAAAAGACTTGTTTTCTCCTTTACGCAACGTGACAGTAGCTAGGTCTACTGGATTACCTTATCGATTTTTATTTAAAGTCCCTGTGCAGTAAGTTTGGCGATTTAATAATTTGACAGCTAAATCATAGGAGTTATAATAATTGTCCATATAGACACTGTGTCCCGAGTCCAATTTCTCTTCGAGTAGCTTTAAAACTATTTTCTGAGTATGTCCTATTCCGGACGTATCATCACCTGCACCACCATATATTTGAAATTTGATTACTGTGCCTTCTGGTTCTGCAAGCACGTATAACTTTACTTCATACTTATGGCGCTTATTTTTAATATATTGCCTAAAATGGAGACGTCCACGCCATAACACCATCGATTCATCAAGAGATAGTTGTTTGCCTGGGTAATAAATATCATTCATTCGATTGTTAAAATGATCTACTATCGGACGAATTTTGGCCAATCGGTCTTCTTCATTTGTTTCAGATGAAAAATGAAGGCAACGCAATATTAACATAAAACGGTTGCGTGACATATATTGTGCAAAGCAATTAATATTTAATAACCAATGTTTTTTCCAGTAATCGCTGAGTCGGTTCAGCCGGATTGTACCTGTGTGAAGGACTAACCCAAGAAATGTTAACAATTCAGTTCGTGTTATATCTTTCCAGGATATTATTCGTGAATGTTGTTTGACACCAGGGGCCTTCAGTACTCGAATGGCATTAGCGTTAGTTTCACGCACTAACAAATCTAGAATATTATCGTCTAATAGTAATCGGAATGCCTCAAATGGATCAGATGGAGCTGGAACTAGTAATTCCTGAGTTCTGGTGAATTCTATGTTTTTCATTGTCCCTTGTGTACTCCAAGAAGATGAAGCTCCTTCCCCTGATGGTTGGTCATCTAGCCTTACAACTCTGGTTTGTGACAGAGATGCAGTTGCCGGTGGCATGTTTTCAATATCTTCACTGGGAAAGTTAATCGATGTGGCATCGGACATTAACATAGATATGGATGTCGGTACAGAAGTATTTAATAAATTGTCAGGTATATCAGGTAGCTCACCGTAATCTTGTATTATAGAAGGTGAGGTTGACATGTGCCGATCCGATGACATTGAATGGGTAAACGTCTCTTCAGGTACTTGATTTGAAGTTTTCTGACGAATTGGTGACAGAAATCTGTCCATACGTTTGTGTCTAAAAGGACGCCTAGTATCAAAAATACTATCTGAACTATCATCGCTAACCTCCTCTTCATCACAACATTGAGAGAATACAGCTTCCTCGCTTGAACACTCAAAATCATCCAAACTACTATCGGCACTAAAACTGCGGCCTTTTTTAGCCCGGGAACCCGAAGTTAATACGCTACCGGAACGTTTAGAAGGACCTGGTTTGTCAGTCATTTTAGTGTAAAAAAGTGTATTTTTCAAACGTCTTTATTTAACAAATTGATCGCGCGAACCCCGATCCAACACTTGATATTATAAAATGTGTACTTTACGTCTATGGCCACGTACGTCACGTACTATTATCACAACGGCTGGAGCAGTACTGATGCATAGAAAAAACACAGTCACAAACCACGACGCCGTGTGTTCGGCCCCCCGCTCCTCCACGGCGCCGTGTACTCGGCCATATACATCTCCACGGCGCCGTGTAGTTGGCATTGAATGTGTTAACAGCCTTTTGTCCGGTGTGAATAAGGCACACGCATATAACGGCTGGGTCATGCCTGTCCTCATGTATTTTTTTGGCATACTCAGGTGGACTCAGACTGAACTTAACGCCCTGGATAGAAAAGTCCGCACTACCATGACGTCCCATAGGATGCATCATCCGAGATCGTCGGTAATGAGGTTGTACTTGTCGCGGAAGCATGGTGGTCGTGGCTTCTTGAGCGCGCTCACCATGCATAATCGCGAAGTGTGCAGCCTCCGTGATTACTTCCTGGCGAGATCGGATGATCCATTCTATATGGACGTCATTTCTTGTGATAAAGGACTTACCCCTCTATCCTTAGCCAACGAGCAATGGCAAGACCCGGCAGTGCAGAGCATTTCCGACCGAGAGACCGTATGGAAGGAGAAGGAGCTCCACGGGAGGTTCTACAAGGCTCTACATGAGCCTTTCGTAGACACAGTAGCCTCCCTCCACTGGCTACGCTTTGGTGATCTCTTCGGGGAAACCGAGGGTTTTGTCTGTGCAATACAGGATCAGGTTATTAAGACCAACAACTATCGGAGATACATCCTAAAGGATGGCACCGTCGACATCTGTCGAGCTTGTCGCCATCCCGGTGAGTCACTTAGGCATGTTATCTCCGGTTGTTCGGCGCTTTCTAACTCTGAGTACTTGCACAGGCACAACCTAGTAGACAGAATTCTACACCAGGAGCTCGCTCTGAAATACGGTCTCGTGGACCGGAAATTGCCGTACTACAAGTACTTGCCGGAAGCCGTGCTCGAAAATGATCGCGCCAGGCTCTATTGGGACCGGGCCATCATCACAGACAGGACTATTCTTGCGAATAAGCCTGATATTGTGCTGATGGACCGGGCACAGTCAAGGATATTTTTTGGTCGACATTACCATTCCGTATGACGAGAACCTCGTGAAATCCGAAACAGACAAGCAAACAAAATATCTGGACCTGGCTCACGAGGTGACCGACATGTGGGGTGGTCTGCCGACCGAAATTATTCCTGTAGTCGTCTCTGCAAACGGGCTAATCCCAGTCAGCCTCTCGGGTCATCTGAGGCGGCTGGGACTACGTGGCGGACCGCTCCAGGTTCAAATGCAGAAGGCGGTGCTCCTCGATACTGCCCGCATCGTCCGCCGGTTTCTTTCCCTTTCCCCCTAACCCTCGGTCGTTTGGTCTCCCCTGCCGAGGGCCTCCATCTGGTTGGGCTTTTATTTATTTATGTACTTTTATATTTATTTTATGTTATTGATATCTATGTATATTTATTTTTTCATTTTCATTTATAATTATATATTTATAGAACCCAACCAGATGAGAAAACTATATAGATACCCCATAATAATAAAAACCTAACCTAACCTAACCTAACCAGTTCCGCTCGAGTATTCTGCCGTCTCTCGCCCCGTACGCATCGTTTCCGAACCGCTCCACGTTTTAAAAATCCCGAAAAATAGGTTAAAGTGAATCGATTTTGGTGAAGCAAGTGTTGTTTTGTGTAGTTTTATGTGAGCTTGAAGCCACAAATAGTGTTTGTGGCGAAAAGTGACGTGTTATTAAAATATAACCCAGAAACCGCGCGTCGGACTCGTCAAAAGGTAAAATTTTTGAGTTAGATTTTACACAAAATTGCGTACGCCGCTGTTTTAAGATCGATAACCTGTCATTTTTATCTTGCCACTTTATGACACTTGCTTTGCTCTACAATTTGGCACTATGGCACTATTTTCCGAATTTTCTTTCACGTGGATTAGAAGTTATTAAGGAAAAGCCGAAAAACCACGTGGCATTAAAAATTGAAACGGAAAACGTGCGGCTGAATTAAGATTCCTAGTATTATACTTGGCCATTTGCACAACTTATCAGCGCTTGTTTCATTGGAATTGGCACTTTTTTCTAAAAGTTATTAGTGGAAGTGTCAATTTCTTAGAATTAGTCCATATTTGACAGAACTTTTTACAGAATTTAAAGCGATAACATACCCCTTTTATGTTACATTTTAACGCGAAAACTAATAAATAAAGTATAGACAAAAATTTGGATTTTTCTATTTCATAGATTTTGAAATATTGGTATTTTCCTGAATTAACTCTTCCACGTGCTCACCCTTTCTGAAGGTTGGCGTTACGTTACGTACACTGAAATCATAGATAACATAAAGACGAGCAAAAAGCCGTTTTTAGTTCTTTTCTATCGCTTTTCTTTGGGGAGTTATAAGATTTTCAGTGTTTTTTCAGGATATTTCATTGCCATCAAAATATACTGGGTTTTCCTTATCTCCAATAGCTAGGCCAAAAATTTACAGTGATTACAGTCCAACCACGACCCTTCTAGCTCTCTCCGTTGCTGAGATATTTCAAATTTTAGTTTTTTCGTCATATTGGACGCCATATTGAAAAATTTTAAGACCTTCTCTCAGCAACCGATTATCGTAGAAACACGGGGTTTTCAACAAACACCATTAAATCAATTATAGAACAACTAGAAAGCAAAAGAACGAATCACCAAGTTTGGCGCAAGCTGGCGATTCCATTAAGTACCTTAGAAGGAAACAAACCGTATAAGCCCAAACTCGGTCTAATTATCTTAACTAGAAGGCGAGATATCCAGCTTTAAATTTTTGTCCGCCATCTTAGCCCGCCATATTGGAAAATTTCAAAGCCTCATAACTTCAGAACCGTAAGTCGGATTTTGACGGGGTTTTCGACAATGAATTTGGTATCATCCCCTCTACATTTTAAGACTCTCATAAACACTCCTCACATTAAAGTACACCATGTCGGACAAGTGCAAAAAACCTGTATTTAGTCACCCAGAAAAACTTATGGCTTCTAAAAAGAAAACCATAACAAAGGGCACAAAGGACCTTAGTCGGGCTCCCATTGGTACGGACAACAACGCAACGGATCAAATGACCCCGCAAACGATGAGCAACAATCCCTTGACTCCTACAGACTTGGGAATGGTGGAGCATCACGGAAAACTCCCAGCTGAAGAGTGTGGCGGAAAGGATGAACTAGAACCAAACACTCAGGAGCCGTTCACCATTTCACATAATCTCGATGAAGCAACCACGTCCTCCGCAGTGCTTGCAAAATCTGGATCAAACCTCTTACGCTTCCGTGAACAAATTAGACATGCTAAAGCTGTGGAGTCTAAGGAAACCTTAGATCCGCGTCAGAAACAGAAGACACCATGGAGTCTGATGCTGAAAGCGAGGACACCAACACCTCCCTAGACGCCTCCACGAGGTCTATTGGGGGCAACCGTATGCTGTTAAATGAACTGCCCAGGCACGCTAACCAAATACTTCAGCGAGCTGAAACAGACCTGGAGAAATCTGGCAATCTTAACAGGGAGATCCGGGAAAGCGTCGTCTCAGGGTTATATACTCTTTATGAAATGATCCTTAAGTTGTCAGACTCACGAATGCTCCACATTCTTGAGTCAAACAAATAGAAATTGAACGTTTCCCGAGAATCTGAAAGGCTTACCCAAAGACATGCAAGGTTTATGCATGAGACTTTGAGACAATATCCTGAAAGAAAACATAGAAAAACTTCAAAAAGAAACAGAATCAGCAAGACTTATTTTCTCTTATGACCTCTGTGAGGCAGTTACCGCGACTAAGCGAGAACTGATCAATATTAAAAATGAGATTTCAACTGGTCATCTCTTATAAGCCAAATACAATCGCTAAGAGACGAACTAAGGCAGCTCCAAGAAAATATAAGCAACCGTCATGACCTCAATAGAAAAGAATTAGGTATGTCACCCCTTGTTAAAGAAATGCGAGAACTTCGTTGTATATTTGACGAACAAATATCAAAAAGGGAAATTTATCAGGCACCTATTGCCAATACACCCCCCTATACACAATATCGAGTAGAGCTTGCAGAACGCACTAAAACTTCAGAGCAAAACGCAGAAATAAAAATGCAACTAAGCTCTGAAGTAAAAGAGTTGAGACAAAACATCCTAGAAATGTCACAAAATGTACAAGGATTAATGACCTGCCACTCCAACTCTTCATTGCCCTCAGTTCAAGCCAGCATTGAAGAACTACGGAAAGACACAAAAGAACTCAAGGACACAACAGTGGATTCTGAGGCTCCCATTCGAGTGGCAATAGAGGGCCTCAGGAAAGAACTCAAAATTATGTCACAGATAGAAGAAACAGAACAGATAAGGTATAACTCCCAACACACTGAGGACAACTTAAACGCTGACGAACCAAAACAACAACCACAAATGGTTAGACAGAGGAATTCTTCACATACTTACTCTGAAGTAGTTAGGAAGCCCCATTACCCAATAATAGTAGAGTCAATTGATCCCAGATACACGAGCGAAGAGATAATAAAGGAGGTAAAGAGTGAGATTGACGTAGTTGCACTTGGAATTGGCATAAGTAATTTCAAGAAGGCTAAAAAATAAAAAGTTTTAATTAGCTGTAAATCCGAAGGGGATAGAAACATTCTGCAGGATAGCCTAAAAAGCACAACTGCCAAACTCACTGTCCATAAGTTAACGGCAAGGAATCCTCTATTACGAATATTTGGAGTCATATTTGACCTAACAGATAAGAATATAGAAGAAGCAATTATAAAGCAGAATAGTGCTCTTCTTAAAGAAATCTCGCCAACACAACAATACATAAGAGTAGTCAGAAGAATGAAAGGAGGCACAAGTTCTACTTGTAATATTGTATTAGAGGTAAGCCCACAAATTTGGACTAAATTCAGAGATCAAAAAATTAGAGTTGGCTTCCAAATAGTTCCAGCGGTTGATCAATCACCTATCATTCAATGCTTCAGGTGTCTAGGTTTCTCTCATCAAGCAAGAGAATGCCAAGTGCAAAGAGTAAATTGTGGTTAATGCGCTGAGGCACATGATATGAGAGAATGTCATAATAGAAACAAGGCACCAAAATGCATAAATTGCATTGAAAAAAGAGGTAATGTCTCAAACTACAGTCACCCAGCCTATAGTTCTGAGTATCTGGAATGGAGAAAGTGGGATAGAATTGCGAGAGCAACAATATCCTACTGCTAAAAACACCGAAACGTCTCCACAAAAGACCACAAACTCTAAAGGCGGAACTATTAAAATGGCCCAAATAAACCTAGGAAGAGGACACGCAGCACAACAAGAATGCTTGCAAATGGCAGTAGCACAGGGTGTGTCCATTCTTTTATTACAGGAACCATATGTTGGCGCAAAAGCTCACATTACCTGCCAACATAGAATAATACAAAAATACACGAACAATTGTCAAAAACCGGTCAAAGCGGCTGTCATTGTAGTCGATCCAACTATAGATTTTACCATTAACTCTGAAACCATTACTGAAAATATTATAGCTTGCAAATTTAGTATCAAAGGTTTAAACATTGTTATTGTAAATGTATATCTGGAAGAAGGCCAAGACGTTGAAGAAGACTTTTGCAACATAGCTAACTACTTCAGCATCCTAGAGGGAGAACATGTCTTATTTGGAGGAGACATCAATTCCAAAAGTCCCTGGTGGGGGGATGCGATGTGGAGGACAGAAGAGGAGCAGCTATGGCAGAAGCTTTAGCTCAACTAGAACTCCATATTTTAAACGTGGGGAAAACACCAACTTTCTCTGTGTACAGACAGCAAAAACATTATACCAGCATCGTCGATGTGACAGCGTGCACCACTAGCTTACTTCGGAAAATATCTGATTGGAAGGTGAATCCTGAATTCGTTACTCTTTCAGACCACAGGGCGATAACGTACAAACTGAATTTCACAAACATCACAGACGAAACAAAAGAAAGACTATCCACATGGACTTATAATACAGCCAAAGCTAACTGGGAAAAATTCTCAAACAATTTTAAAGAAGAACTGAGCTCCGTAAACATCACTGAGGACGCAATATTTAACGTGGAATCCAAGGAATCAATGGAAAACCTAGTAAAACAATATACTGAATGCATTCAGAGGGCATTTAATAAAACGATTCCAAAAATTGCTAAAAAATACCCACAAAAACACCCTGGTGGACTGAAGAACTTAGTGAAAATAAAAAAGAGGTAATTCGGAAAAGAAGAAGGATAAAATATGCAAACCAAAGGAGGAAACCAGCTATAGTAGAAGAATATATTACAGCTAAAGTTGAGTATAAAAACCTACTAACAGAGACAATTACGGCAAGCTGGAAGGAGTTCTGCTCTAGGCAAGATAAGGAGAATTTTTGGCAGGGAATCTATAGAGTTACGCAAAACAAGTAAAACTCCAGAAGACTCACTTTTAAAAGCGACGCCGGAAAGCAGTATTTTGTCCCCGGACAAATCTGCTCATCTTCTAGCTGATACATTCTACCCCACTGACGAAATCATAGCAGATGAACCTGAACAAATGGAAATTAGGAACAGATCTGAAATAATCAGAAAAAATTTATTAACTTCCACAAGTGAAGAAGCCATGACACCTTTCACAATCAACGAGATCGATAACGTTTTCAGCAGCATGAGCCCAAAAAAATCACCAGGAGAAGATGAACTAACCACCGACATATGTTTTAAGGCATACACGATGACGCCGCAAGTGCTCTTAGCAATATTTAATAGATGTCTAATGGGATATTTCCCAAAGATTTGGAAAAACGCCGTTATCAAAATCATACCGAAGCCGAATAAGGATAATTATACACTTACTAAATCTTATCGGCCAATAGGACTTCTTCCCGTACTGGGCAAAGCGTTTGAAAAATTGCTTGTCAATAGAATGACATGGCAGCTCGGTTCTTAAAATAAAATGAGTGGTAGACAATATGGGTTTGTCCCACAGAGAGGGACTGAGGACGCTCTAAGCGATGCCCTTGACATCGTCAGGCAAGGATTAAAAAATAAAGAAATTGTCATTATTGTCTCTATTGACATTGAAGCTTTTGATAATGCTTGGTGGCCTCCAATGATAAACGAGCTCGAAAAGAAAAGAATTGACAGGTCCATAAGTAGGCTTGTTAGCAGTTATCTCTCTGATAGGAAAATAAAACTAACATACGCTGGCAGCGAGATAACTAAACCAACTAATAAAGGGTGCATACAAGGATCGACCTGCGGACCTCTGCTGTGGAACCTACAACTTGACCCACTACTAAGGGAGATAGAAGAACTAGGTACACACCAGGCGTATGCAGACGACATATTGATTATATCAAAAGGGAAAGCAGCAAGGGACTTAGAACGTGAAATTAACACAACACTCGAACATATTCTTGCTTGGGCAAGAAGGAGAAAGATGAAACTGATGGCACAGAAGACCCAAGCAATTCTGCTGACTAGGAAAATTAAATACAAAACTCCAAAATTACTCCTCGATAACACAGCTATAAAGTTCTCTGAAAGTGTAACGATTCTCGGACTAACGATTGATGTCAACCTCAACTTTATAAGGCATGTTGATACAACCACGGAAAAGGCAATCCAACTCTACAAAAAGGTCTCAAGAACAGCTAGAGCTAACTGGGGTCTCAACCCAGAAATCCTTAGAACTATATATATCACGGTAGTTGAACCCACAGTGTTATATGCGGCGGGGGTATGGGGCCTAACATATATATATATATATATATATATATATATATATATATATATATATATATATATGTGTGTTAGGCCCCATATATTTTTTTGACTTTTACTTGTTATATATATATATATATATATATATATATATATATATATATATATATATATATATATTTATATATATATATATATATATAACATAAATAACAAGTAAAAGTCAGGCTTGACAGAATCACCAGGATATTTGCAATAATGATAAGCAAGGCACACCGTACGACATCTTTAGTATCCAGCACAATTCTAGCCAGAATTCTACCCTTAGATTTAAGAGCCAAAGAAAATGCCGAGATCTATATGGTCAAAAGGGGGAAACCAATTGCGAATTTACCCGGCAGGAAACTAGCCAAATCCATACACCCTCACATGCTACCACATCCAGCAAATAGAACAAGACAACAGTACGGGATGATAACTTCAGAAAATGACATAGGTGCTATAGAAAACAACTGGCCATGTTTATATACTGATGGCAGCAAAATCTCAGGAAAAGTGGGTGCTGCTATCACTTGCTGGAAGGAGGGAAAAGAAATACACAAAGCTAAACTAAAGCTAGGAAACCATTGTAGTGTTTACCAAGCGAAGCCAGCAGCCATTTTAAAAGCCACGGAAATCATGTTGAGCAAACAATCACTCAAATATGCAAACATTTTGAGTGACTCGCAATCAGCGTTAGAATGCCTCACGAATCCCAACACTTTACACCCTATAGCAGCAGAGATTTGGCCCGTATCACAGAAATAGAAAGAAAACGGGGAAAACCAAGATTGTTTTGGATCAAAGCCGATTGTGGTATTCAAGGGAACGAAAGAGCCGACGAACTGGCTAAGTCAGCAGCGGAAACATTAGACTGCTTCCCTCTATCTTTTGCAAAGCGCCACATCAGGGATAACACTTTGCATACCTGGCAAGACTTATACACCTCATCAGACACCGGAAGAGTCACGAAAAAGTTCTTTCCAAACGTGATCCAGGCGCATACAACATTAAAGAAGATTACAATAAATAACTTAAGATGTCAAATTTTTACAGGACACGGAGGTCTTAATGCATATTTGCACAAATCCAAATTAGCCCAGAGCCCACACTGTGGATGCGACCATGTAACACCACAGACAATAGAACATCTACTAATAGAGTGCCCTAGATTTGCGAGTTTAAGAATTTGTTGCGAACACCGTATGGGCTTTCCGATAAAAGAAGACACTCTGTGTAGGGCGGTCAACGACAATGGCAGTCGCACTCATTTTCTTGTATACGCAGAAAAGTGCTACAAGAAAATGGGTCAAAAATATATTAATATAATTTAAGTATAAGAAAAAAAATTTTTTTGATGTAGTATTAGATATACATAGTCTGAGAAGCAGTAGATTATAATAACTATAGTAAGGCTAGAGATAACGATAACTTTAATACTTAACTTATTTTAAAGCTGGTAGCAATAGTGTGTATTATCAATAGAAAAGCATTTAGCATAGCTAGTATAGCTTTTTAGCAGATAGAAAACTAGCAGTAGCCCAAATTTTTTCAGAATTTTTTCAATTTATAATTCTTGAGTTATAAGCTATTTGCGGTTTTTGGTTCATATAAATAATTTTTCAAAATTTAATAACATAAAAAATTTTAAAATAAAAAATTACTAAATTCATTATATTAATTCCTAATTTATAAGCTATAAAATATTTTTTGCAGAATTTTTGTCGTAGCGCTTTCGGAAATACTAATTTAATTGTAAAGGCTAGGAGGTTTTCAGTTTACAGGAAAACGGAGCCTCCTAGCCAAATTCTTACAAAATTTTCCTTTTTCCTCGGCGGGAAAAGACAATGAAATAACATCCCACGTAAGGAAAAATGTAGGCGAGCTTGAATCGCGTCTTGGTGCTGCACCAAAAACCAAGACAGCTGATTTGCCGACCAAACATAAATCGAAAATTTCTCGAAATCGAAACAACTAAATATCTAAATAAAGCACAAGAGGCAAAGGCACACGTAGTCAAAATAAAATTATTACTAAATAGCTCACGAAATTTGAAGACTGAAATTAAAGACAAAATTGCAGAAGCTGCAGAAAAACTTTACAGATTGACCAAGGGAGCTGAAGAAGTAAAGGAAAATACGATAGAAAACGATACAGCAAACTTGGTAAGAAAACAGGATATTGAGTTAGAGTTACTTCAGAAAATGGAAGAACATAGTAAACTACTCACAGAGTGCAGGATAGAGACTCAACGCATAAGTGAAGAAGTGAAAAGTCATAGGGATGAACTTATCACCTATTATAACCAAGTGTAGTTGCAAAACGGAATAGAGGGCAGCCTCTGGATCCAAACGCAGCTAACTTTAGAGACACAGTTTCTGCTCAAATGCACTCAGTTATAGTAAGATCAGGAAATGAAAATGATACAAGTGGCGATGTTATCGAAAAGATTAGAGTGGCTGTTAATGCAAAACAAAGTGGGCTAAGGGTAGAAAAATTGAGGAAAGCTAAAGACCAAAAAGTTATAGTAGGTTGTGGTACTAGGGAAGAAATGGACAAGATAGCAAACCGAATTAAAACCGGTGATTCGGGGCTGTCAGTTGAAGAGGCAAAAAATAAAGATCCGCTTGTCATATTGAGGGACGTACTAACGATTAACACCGATGATGACATAATTGCTGCTATAAGGTGTCAAAATTAGAAACTGATCGAAACCCTGAAAAGCGAAGAAGTGAAATTATCAGTGCTTTATCGTAAAAAGACAAGAAACCCACACACTAATCGCGTGGTCCTCCAGGTCTCCCCACCAGTATGGTAACGGCTGACAGACGCGGGAAGAGTTCATGTGGACTTGCAACGCGTGGTAGTGGCGGATCAATCACCATTAATGCAATGTTCCAGATGTCTCGCTTACGGGCACAGTAAAAGGTACTGTAAAGAATCAGATGAGAAATGCTCCCACTGTGGAGGCCCACATCTGAAGGCCTCTTGTCCCGCCTTCCAGGCTGGGAAAGTGCCCTCCTGCATTAACTGTGTAAGGGTAAAGATGGATCGCCAGGACCGCAACACTTTCGACAGTGAGTGTCCGGTACGCAGAAAATGGGACTCAATAGCCAGAACAAGCGTGGCTTATTGCTAAAGTTGAACTGAAAAACAAATGCAGAGAGTTAGAAGGACGGGTTAGTGCGGGGGAAAAACCCATTCTAGTAGTACAAGCAAATCTCCAGAGAAAGAAGCTCGCAACGAGCGAATTAATGTTCGAAGTAAGTAAGGGAGGGATTGGTTTGGCCCTGATCCAGGAACCATATGTAGGGGGAGTCGGATATATGACGGAATATTGCGGATCGCGCGTATTTCAAAGTGCTCAGACAGAAGGAGTGGTAAAGGCGGCAATTGGTGTCCTTGATAATAAAATCGACGTTACCCAGTGTCCGACTCTCACCACCAATAACATAGTCGTGGTCATCATTAAAACAAATGCCTGGGAAATGGGTATAGTCTCATTTTATCTAGAGCCAAATGTACCCATCGAACCATATATGGACCAATTAAAGAAGATAATCGCAAAATTAGGTAAAAGGAAATTATTGATAGGGAGTGATGCAAATGCATGGAGTCCTTGGTGGGGCAGTGTAAGGGAGGGTAGTCGAGGAGAAACGCTTGTAGGTACTCTAAATCAGCTAGGTCTTCACATACTAAATAATGGAGAAACCCCTACTTTCGATACGGTGAGAGGTGGCAAAATCTACTTGAGCCTTGCGAATAAGTGCCTCGAATTGGGATACTTCCCTACTATATGGAAGGAAGCAGTAATTGTGGTCCTGCGAAAGCCGGGAAAGGAAGACTATACACACCTGAAGGCCTATAGACCAATCGGTTTGCTACCAGTTATGGGAAAAGTCCTGGAGAAGATGGTTATTAGAAGAATAAGATGGAACATACAACCAAGGCTTAGTACTCGCCAATACGGCTTCACACCACAGAAAGGCACCGAAGACTCCCTCTATGACATAATGGAATACATACGTACACAGTTAAGAATCAAGAAGATAGTAACCATGATATCACTTGACATAGAGAGAGCATTCGATAGTGTTTGGTGGCCAGCAATTAGATGTCGGTTAGCTGAGGAAAGTTGCCCCATAAACATCAGGAAATTGATCGACAGCTATCTCCAGGACAGAATAGTTAGAGTGAGGTATGCAGGTGTGAAGCATACGCAGGCAACTACAAAGAGGTGCGTACAGGGTTCCATAGGTGGACCGGTTCTGTGGAACTTGCTTATCGACCCTTTGCTGAAGGAACTGGAGAAAGGGGGGTAACCGGTGCCAAGCTTTTGCCGACGATATCGTCCTGTTATTTGCGGGTGACACGGCTCTTGAGATTCAAAGACGTGCAAATGCCGCTCTTGAACATGTTCGGGGGTGGGGAATTCGTAATAAACTCAAATTCGCGCCACATAAGACAAAGGCTATGGTTATAACCAACAAATTGAAATACGATTCTCAACGTCTCGAGATGGGCGGGATAAGCATTGGCATGTCAGAGGAGATTATGGTGCTTGGTGTAACCATAGACAGAAAACTCACCTTCAACACCCATGTGAGGAACGTGTGCAGGAAGGCAACAGCAATTTACGGACAACTAACAAGAGCTGCAAAAATAAGCTGGGGCTTACAACCAGAAATCATCAGGACAATGTACACAGCGGTTGTTAAGCCAGTAGTATTGTACGCGGCTAGCGTGTGGGCGCAAGCGGCTAGCAAGTTTATAATAAAAAGGCAGCTAAATGCTGTGCAACGAGGATTCGCTCAAAAAGAAGCAGCCTTTCTTTTTGAGGCAAAGAGAGGTAAACTCCGGTCAATGATGGGGGGCCGAGAGGTGAAGGCGAAGGCGAGCTTCTCGGAATTGCCCCACCCAGCATCCCATAATATGGACCTAGAGTTCATATGCCTGGAGAATGAGTGCGAAATGAGACTCAATAACACCCAGAGTCTCCGAATATTTACTGATGGGAGCAAAATAGAGGGAAAGGTTGGAGCAGCATTATCCTTTTGGAATAATGAAGCTGAGACAGGAACTCTAAAGCTCAAATTGTCAAACTACTGCACCGTTTACCAGGCGGAACTACTGGCCATATTAAGGGCAACTGAGCGAATCCTCAGCAGCAACGAAAAAAGTTTTGGGGTTTACATTGTCTCGAGAGCAGCACTCGAGACCATTGTCAACCAAGACACCAAACATCCCCTTGCTGTTAAGACTCGCAGAAATATACAGTCCATATTCCTTCATGAAAAAAGTATCCAATTGTTCTGGATAAAAGCCCATGCGTGTCTAACGGGAAATGAACGGGCCGACGAGCTAGCGAAACAAGCTGCGTTGCAAATAAAAAGAAAACCAGAATACGACCAGTGTCCAGTGTCATTCGTAAAAAGACTTATCCGACTGGAAACTTTAAAAAAGTGGAATCAGAAATATATAGAAGGCGATACGGGTAAAATAACTAAGGTCTTTCTCCCAAATGCTATAAATGCATATAAGTTGGTTAGGGAAACAGCACTGTCTCCTACAATGACACAAGTCATGACCGGGCATGGTGGGTTCTCCGAGTACTTGGACCGATTCAAGTGTAAGGAGAACTCATCATGTATCTGTGAACCAGGAGTTGAGGAAATAGTGCTGCATGTAATTCTCAAGTGTCCCATTTATGGTAAAGAGAGACAGGAGTTTGAAACAGCATTCGGTGTAAAACTGGAAATCGGCAACCTTTGGTTAATGTTGATGGAGAAAAATACAAGAAAAAAATTTATAGGATATTGTGAGGGCATTGCTAAGAGAGTCATAAAAAGGAATCAAGATCAAAATGAAAATGGTTAAATATAAGCACTGTATTGAAACAAATTAGATTATTGGAAATATTAAATTGAAACTAATTCTATAAAACAACTAATAATTATGTTAGATACTTTCATTAGTGATGCAAGAAAGCTTTGTATATAACATCGGTGCTTCCTTGTGCCTATACTGCGTATAGACAGAGAGAATGCACCGAATAAAATGTGATTAAAATTAATAACAATAAAATTGAGAAATTAAGTGACAAAAGATATATAAACACTTTGAAATTAAGTGTAACTTTACATGCATTAGAGTAAGAGTAGCAGGACTCCCGAACGAAAACCCGGAGTCCTCTACACCCCTTATAATATCAAGGACAAAGACAATAAAAATAAGAATTCAAAGTCCGTGTCGAGCTGACAATGTCTCTGACCCCCATGTCAGAGGGAAACAGCAAAGCATACAAAAAAAACCTAACCTAACCTTACCTAACCAGTCCGGTGTCAATTACCGTCCCGAACGCCACGTTTTTAAGTCGCTCTGCGCTTAAAAATTCCGAAAAATAGGTTTTTTGCAACCGATTTTCGTGTGTGATACGTCAAAAGTTGCGCTTTGACTCGCGGTTCAAATTAATGAAAACCGCAAGAAAATTGGAGTTTTTGTGAAAGAGATATTGTGAAAAAAGTGATTTTTAAAAATTCTTAAAACTTCTAAGTGAAACGCTGCGAGATTAATCGCTTTTACCCCTGTTTTTTAAAGTGCGGCCTTGAAGCTATTCGCGGCCCCCACCTATGTGCAAAAATTGAGATTTCTCGGAGCCACAGTCTTCGAGAAAAAGCCAAAAAAACAAGTGCCACGTGGGCACGTGTTTTGCGAAGCAGAATCGTGCGGCTGTTTTTTTGGATTCTTGTTTTTGGATTCTGTTAGCATGCGCGGAGAGGAGTCGGGAGCAACTTTCAGAACAATTTAAAGTGAAGTGGTTAACGAGATATTAAGCTTTTAAATTTTGACAAAAATTGATATCTCACTAACTTTAAATCTAAAGTGAATACCCCTAGTTTTTAATTTAAAGTAGTGTTTGGAACAATAAAAGGAACGTGTGTAAAAAATTTTAGATTTTTGTAGTAAGTAGTTTTAGAGTTAGAAATTTTTTAAATATTTAGTTAGCGCGTGCTACCCTTATTTTAGCTGTTGGTAAATTATAAAATACACATATAATTAGAGAGTATTAATTTTAACATATGTAATTTTTTATAGAATTTTAAAACTTAATTTAAGCTGTAAAAACCAAATTTTCCTGAAAATTTATAACAAATTGTGAAAAATTTAATTATAGGGGGATTAAAAAGCCACAAGACATAGAAGTGTAAGGTCGACACCGATACCTATCAAATGAGCCCAAACACGGGCCAAATCAGTTAAAAACCGGCCAAAATATCATTTTACTGTCTGGACCGGTGGCCATTTTGAAAACTTT